TTGATTTTTGGGCAAGCGAGGGGAAGGGTGAAAGGGTGTTTGACCTTAAGGTTCATCATATGGCTCAGTGTTGGAATCAGTCACAAGTTGGCAGTTGGTGATTGGATATTTGAATGCTCTCACAATACATGCAACCATGTTCCATGTGTCCTTTGGTGAATTTATCACAGGTATCTTCTGCTTAAATATACATGGCTCACAATACATTGCTATGTTTCATGGATGATTAGATGGTTAATACAAGATCCAAGCATGCTCCATGCAGCCAGGCAAGCCGGGGTTGTGTTGTCAACCAAGGAATCATCCATATTGGTTTATGATGATTTTTCCTCACCCAAAAGAATGTATTGTCAGCCGTTTTCAGAACATCCCAAAAAGGGTTGAGACCTGGCTGTTGTTACATACATGATGGAGCACTACAAATGTGTTCATGCAAGGGCTTTTGTCAAGGCTGCCACTATACTATACTAAACTATACTGAGATTATTGGTATAGTATAGTTCAACTATACTGTACTTGAGCTATACTCAGTATAGTATAGTATCAACTATACTGTACTTGATAGTAAAACCATACTTAGATATACTATACTATACCTCAGGTTGTGGGTGCGGCCCAAAAAACATGCTTTGGCACACCAATTTATGGGTGCCTAGGTGTCAAAGAGATCTGCAAAATTGGGGTTGGTGTGCCTTTCCAAAAAGCACACCAGATCTTTGGAGTTTTATGTCCTATCCTTGCTGTGAGCTTTGAAGACAGCTTTTTTTAGCTTTTCTCTCCTCCAAAAGGTAATTTTGTGGTGGTAGATAGCTCTAGCAATACAAACTTAGAATAAATGACAATGTAAAAACAAAATTTTGGTTGTAGTTATTTTTTTTGTAAGAAAACACGTCCTGTGTGCCAAGTGGCGCCTTGGCGCAAAAAAATACAAAAAACACACCGCAGCGCGCCCACAATCTGAACTATACCATGCAGTATAGTTGAAAAAGCTGATGGAAAACATGTATAACCCTTGTCAAAGTATAGTTGATCAATCAATACTATACTGAGTATATTTGAGTAAAGTATAGTTCCAACTTACAATTCAAAATATACTATACCCAAATATGCCTATACTAGTATAGTATAGTGGCAGTGCACCCTTGCTTTTGTGAAGTCTCAGTTTGCTCATATCCGACTTCATGTGACTTCCTTACATCCCATTTTTGAAGTTCCTGCCCCATCAGAAGCACCAATGACTTGGTAAGTTTTGATTGAAGTATTGACAGCCCAAGACTTCCTTGAGGCTCATACCAAGAGTTATTCTCCCAAAGGCACATACAGAGGGGCAGCTGTGGAATTTGTCAGGGTGAATGTAGAGTCTCATGTTGTTTATTTCAATACTCATGAATTTATTCTAGGTTCAGCTTTGGTGCCTTGCCCAGCACAAGGGGTTTGAATTTAACTTTCCAGCTGTGTTTGCTATTGGCAACCGCCAGGTGCCCTGGCCTTTTTGGATGTTGGTACAAAAGATTTCTGCAAGAGAGCAATACAAGATACAGCAATTGGTAAGTGGGTTTGCCAAACTTTGTTTTGTGTTCCTCACCTGATTACCTGACATAGTATCATATAGCGTCTCTTCAACATTGCTATCACAAGTGAAAGAAATCCTGTGGTGCCAGATCTGAACCAATCAATCCTCAGGATGAGTATTTATATCAGGATGAGTATTATATCAGGATGAGTATTTATATCAGGATGAGTATTATATCAGGATGAGTATTGATATCAGGATGAGTATTGATAGATATTTTGCAAAACCCCTATCCATAAGCTTAACTCACCCAATTTGATATGACAAGCAGATCAAGTGCGCTTTGACAGCAAAACACTACAATTTCACCAAAGATGATATCACCTGCATAGCACTCCTGGTAAGTCAGTCTAATCTTGTCAAAGGCTTGAGTATTTCTTGTTAAGATCCTTGGATCCAACAGTGCTTGATTGGATTCCAGTTGGCTTTCATTGGAACACATTCAAATACCTCCCCCCATGTGCCTTTGGTATATATTGTTAATAAACTACCTCCCAGATTCACACCTCTTGAGGATAGCATATGGCTGCTGGTTGATGACCATCTCAACATGATAGCAACTACAATTACAGAACACAATCTAGCAAAGTAAGTCACTTTATAGGTTGATTCATACATCATACTCATCCACCGAGTTTTTTGTCAAGCAGATACATTGGTCTTTTTCTATCTGTTATCAGACTGTAATCACACCAAAGCCTTTTGAGAGATAATCAAATCAGTTACTTTTCATCTTAAAATATGTGATTTTGGTCCTTTGAAATAATCAGATATATTTCACTTTGGGGCCTTATCAGTACTCAATTCAAGAGAAATCTTTCTGATTGACTTGTTTTAGAGGGGAAGTCCTTAGACACTTTCTATCAATTCTTTATTACTTGTATATTGTACCCTTCATGCTCTGTATAACCCTTGTTGGAATTCCACATACAACATTGGCTCACATTCTTCCAAAAGAAAAACACACACCTTTGCTCTTGCATACTAGATGGCTGATTTTTCAAGGTAAAGTGGTCTATTTGTCTTTAGAGTCTTAGATATTGTGTCTTGAATAAACCTATTACGCACCTGAAAAAAGATTGACCACATCACAGGGTATTGGTAGGGCCCCTGACATTGGGTCCACAATGATTTGTCAGTTTGTTTTGACTTTGTCTTGAACTGCTCACAAAGGCATAGACAACAGCAATTCTGAACCTTGGAAGCTTGAAGCTCCTGAAGATTGTACCACTGTTTAGATTCATCAGTGCTCAGTATTCTTCAGTTACCTATTCTGCCTCAACATCCTTTAATTTCTTCCATTTCAAGTTACTTGAGTATCAAATTCTTGATGAAACCTATCAAGAATCAACATTTCCATGTGGCAGCTGCTCAACAACAAGCACACACAGACTGCCTTTGAAGCATAGAGCCGACTTGTGTGTGCTTGTACCCAAGCAAAGACCACGCGGACAAAGTGAATAAGGTCTGGTGCCCCTGACAATGTAGTGGAATAGGGCCAATTTGCAATTCTTTCTCTTTTGAATGGAGTTTCAGATGAGCACGCTACAGTAAATTTGACATATTGATTGATATTATTGGACTGTTAGGAGCACATTCTACGTGCTCAATCATGAGCCTGAGGAGAATGATCTTGGTCTTGATATACTTCAGTATTGTTCCAGAGGTGTTGAGACAGTTCAACATGTTTGGCACCTACTCAGAATAGAGTTCTGCTGAGTGTTGGGTTGTGTTGGTTCTGTGCAAAAAAAATCTGAAGAAACTGCAAAGACTGGATGGCCCCCAACGTAGGGAGCCTTACCAACAGGCATGGTGTATCAGGATGTTTTTTGCTTTGAGGATTAAGTGAAGACATCTAGTGTGGATATTTATAATGTTGGATATTATATGGTCACAATCAAAAAATTCTTGTGCTTCTCTTCCTGTGAACATATAATGATGGAAACATAATCATTCTCCGGTTGTGATCAGATGGTGGATCAGATTGACATTCTTTTACCCAACCCCTTACCATATTAATGTATTCTCATAATGCTAGTCTGCTCAAAGGCAAAACTTCTGAACATTCTCAAGCTCAGGTCTGCATTCAAAATTGTCTCTTTTGTTCATCCTCAATGCTATGTATACATTTTATGCATCTATCAATATTCTGACCTCTATCAGATTTTTTTCAATGAACTTGGTTTAGTTTGGAATTGAGGTGAAATTTACCCCAATCTTGAACATTTATCATCAGAAAACCTACCTCTAATTCACCAGATACTTCAAAACTTTTCACTGATCTGCTAATCTGCTGATCTGCTGATCTGCTGATCTGCTGATCTTGTAAATGGTTGTTGTTTCTCACTGATGAAATTTTGATGTTCTGTATCTTGAATATGAAACCTACCATTGATGGGATCATCCAAGTGGTCTTTTATTTTTCACTTCCCAGACCAGATGTTCATTTGTTTGTCATTTCTTCTCTTGCTCTTGGGATTCCCAAAACATAAAGACATAGTTCATATGGCAGTCAAATTGCCAATAAATTTACATGTCAAGTTTTCTTGCATATGCACAGTAGCTTTTTATTTTACTTGTTTCTTCAACTTCATTGGATTGGCTTCAAGTCTGACATGTCTAATTAAACTCACTGCCTATGTGGAATTTATTTATTTTACACGAAGTATCAAGATGTATTTGGAAGAATTGAAGGCTGGCAGTTGTAGGCCTTGTAATCAAGCAGTAAGAGTATCCTACCACCAGAAGATGGTCCATTTATTTGTCTATGCAGCAGCATATCCATGCATACTTCAAAAACCTTGATAATGTAAACTCTGAAAAGTTTGATGAAGCGTTGGTTTCAAGAGACAAAATATTTTTTCAATTAGACTGTTGTTTATTATTAATAAATTGGAAAAATAAAATAAAGAATAAGGAGAAAACAACTTGATTGAAAACAACAAACAAACAAAATAATTGAAAAGAATCTATCAAAAAGATACATTGATGTTTGTTAAATTCTTGATAGCTTTGTCAAGTTTAAGAGGAGTGTACTTGACAAATTCATTCTGAATCTACAGAAGTTTCAAGATGGATATCATACCAATAGAAAAGTTTGAACTACATATAACCAAATAGGGTTTGAAACTTTTTAAAGATCAGAAACAAAAAATGAAAACAAACCACAAGACTTGGAATCTAAACACTCGGAATCTATATTCCTCCTGGAAATTCAACTCGAAAAGAAAAAGTAGAAAGACAAACAATACTCTGTTCAAATAAGAAAGACATCTATAACTGACGAGGTTTTTTGAGGGGGAAAAACAATCTAGAAATCCATTGCGTTCAACTATCAATTTTTTTTTCGATTTTCCTTTGCTTCCTATTCCTTCCTTTTTGCAGGATATTTTAAGTTTAGATTTTCTATTTAGTTTTATAAAAAAAATTAAACCCATTGATTAGAATCATTAAATTCATTATTGTATCCATTTTGATTTCCGAGGTTTTGAACAAATGGTATAGTTGATTGACTTAAAGCTTCATTTTCGTTCAAGAATTGTCTTAGTGCGCTTTGTGCCGTATCAATAGAATCTGATGATTCGGTGGAACTCGAAAAGTCATTAGACATATTGGTTTGGGTATTCTGGTTCAATGCCTTGTTCAAAAGCTCTTGTAGTTTCGCGAAAAGGGCCACCGAATTATCTGGGGAGGGATTAGACATTGTTGAGCTCGAAAGGCTCTGGGGTTTGAATACGACTGGGGTAGATGACCGATAGCTGTGTGAGGTTCCTGTCGGACTACTAGCGGTATCAAAAGATGCTCGAGACAATCCATCGGATAAGTGGCCATGTTCATTTCCGATTACGCTAGTGTTGCTATGATTTCCCGGGTCGTATGAACCATTAGAGAGCTCGTGTGAGAACATAGTTTCGAACCCGTAAGTTCCATCTTGTTTGGGAGAGGTCGATTGCGAGTTAGGGTATGCTAGGTGAGGGTTGAACGCAGTGCTCGGTGTAGCCATGGCGGAGTCGATCGGTTGATGCAAAAAATAATCAGAAGCGAGGGCTGTGTTGATTGTGAGTGGAGGAGGTCCTATATTCTGATTTGGATTTACAAGGCGTTTCTGATTCATTAATTGCCCATTTGGTGCATTCAGTGTAATGTCATTATGCACATTGAGCGTTTGCGAGGCATGCTCTGAGCTCGACATTGAGAGAGGTGGAGAGGGTAGGGGATAGTCTAATGTCGAGATGATACCACCTGAGAGGGAACCTTGCACGAGTGGTGCAGGAGATTGGCTTGACTGGTTCGTGATAGCTAGCAATGAATGTGCATGATCATCATTCTTGATTTCCTGTGAATGTGAAATAGATAGCTGCGTGCTCATTGCATTCCATTCGGAGCCATCCACAGAAGGAGATAGATTGGAATTGTACTCTGAAATCGGATCGGTAGTCTGAAAATGACCTCTTTGCTTCTCGGAAAGTCTGACAAGGTTGATGGGAATAGGATCAGATTCCGATCCATCTAGGTAGACGGCTACTACCTTGCAAACGACGCGGGTGACAACTGATTCTTTAGCTTTGTAATGATGTTGTGTACTCTTCTTCACCTGAACAGTGCTACCTATCTGGATTTCTGACTTGGGCTCTTCCACAACGTCTTGGAAAATATCAGCTGTGGTTCGCGTCTGACTGCTCTCGATATGAAGGGCAATAACCATTCGGTAAGTACGCTTGCTCACAAGAAGTGGTTGCTAGAGGTGACAAATCATTGTGCTTACATTCTTCTAGTGGTCAAGTGCATAGGCTCAGGATCAGAGCTACCTCCCTCGGATTCCAGAGGTCGTTTTTTTCGCTTCTTCAATCCCTGTTGAGCCCTGGCCGCCGCCGCTGCAGCTCTCATTAAGCTCCCATCTCTGAGGTTCCGTGATAAAAAATTCATCAAGAAAATGATCAGTCTCAAGAAGATAAAGAAATTCTTCAAGATGAAGGAGGTGGTCGCTTACAAGCATTCTACATCACCTCGCTCGCATCGCTCGCATCTAGAAATAGGTTTGTTTGATTCAATATCATCTTTACGTGATGGAAGTAGCACTCAGAAAAAAGTCAATGCTCACTTCTCTTTACCAGGGTTAAACACACATTTGATCTTCAACTTTCGGCATAGGTCTGGAAATACACCATCATAAGGAGGTCGAGATACTTCAATTAGTATCGTGAGATCTTGTCAACACGGAGCAGGACTCCGGACATTGGAGCCTCAGAAAAAAATATCAAAGGAAAATGTGACGCACCACATGCGAAATTCTGTTTACGAGCGTGGCGCTCTGGAAGTGGTTTAGTCGATGGCTGATCTGTTCTACTTTTCTTCCTCCGAGGAACTTCGGAGTCGCAAGATGTGTGCGATGTGGCCGTCAGTGTATGTGGCTCAGTACAGATGTTTGTATCTTCAAGAGAGCGCTTCCGCAGAGCCTTGGGAGATAGATGGAAATTATTGATAAGTGTGGTATCGTATCCTTCTTTCATGTCATGCGGGTGACAGACAGGCGATGTTTTAGGTTGAAGATATTGACCGAGTGATTCTGGTTCTTGAAGAAACGCTGACCAGTCCTGGAACTTCGAAGTAGGACTCGAATCAAGGCAGTGAATCTGGTTGAAATAGTCGATTGTGGGCGTTGAACTTAGCATGATTGAGCAGTTTACTGGGCGTTGAAAAGTCCGATAAGCTTTCGAATATGTGGCTACTAGTCCTGTGGTTTCTGCGCGTTATTGAGACCGGTCCACTGGATCTTCGCCTCTTTGTTGTCAGTTAGGTATCACCAACGGACACTACCCCGGCGATGGTAGTGAGATAAAAAGGGGAGCTCTTGACTGTATGAAAATAACTGAGCTGATGTTTTGAAGGTCCCACTCGAAATCTAATAATAGAAATCTAGTACGAGTAGATGAGAAGACAAAGAGTGAGGAATTTCTACAAGAGAATGCACGATCCAACTATGAACAGATTGGGCGTCTAAGGGTAACTTGTAATAAAATCTTTAAACCACAAGGGTGAAAAGGAACAAGAACTTGTGGAAACACGGGGTGGGAGAGGTTATAAGACTATCGTGTTATCTGGTGATCTGTTCAGGTTTTTTCTTTTCAAATCCAATTAAGAAGGCTAATTCCCTGTTCACTATAAAGCTGAGTGGCAACCTCAAGAAAGATCGGACTGCAAGGTGTTGAGGAATGGGCGTGATTGTTTTTGATCGTGCTTTGATTGAATTATAGATCGTGAGTAGTGCGTATACTCCGTAGCTGCTAGACGAAAATATTCGAAGAAAGGAGATAGTTGTGACTATCAGGTAGCATAGAAGTGTGGATTATGATGAGCGTAAGAAGTAAAGGATTCAAGCAGCGTTGCGTAAGTGCTCGTTAAGGTCAGATTCGTCGACCAATATTCTTAGTCTTTCTCGTAAGTACAGAAAAGGGAGACAAGGAAAGGAGTCTCGGATGGAAGTCTTAAAGGGTATTAAAGTGGTTGGTCTATGTAGTGCCTGTGCCTCAGGTTTTGAAAGGACGAACGCAAGCATCCCGTAGGATAACTCAAATCGCCGAAGGGAAAGGCTAAGTAGGGATTTGTAAAAAAAGACGGGGAGTTCTTACCTCAGGAATTTCCAGCAGAGAGATCTGAATAACATCGTGGAGCGACCACGCATATATCCAGATTTGAAAGGTATGGTGGTGGTGGTGGGAAATCCAGAAAATGAATTTGGATGTGGCTTTGATGATTTGAAGGGAACTAACAAAGTAGACCCACCGGGGAGAGGAGACTAAAAAAGTTAAAAATGGTCATCAACGAAAAGTTATGAACACCTCTCTCTCTGTATCTGTCGTCTGTCTTATTTTCTCTCTGCTCGCCCGTCTCTTTGGAAATTGAAGCTAAAGGATGATGACCAGCCGATTTGCAATCAACCTGATTATCGAAAGGACATTTGATTAAATCGCATCAATTGGTGAGCCATGGCAAAGGCATGTGAACGAAAGGAAAACTATCGGCGTCTCGAACGAACATCCTATGATCGAAAGTTCCTCAGGAGTTTCGATCTCAAGCTTTTCATGCCTGAGTTCACTCCTCATCGTCAGTATGACTGAATCTGAGTTGGTCTTTTGGCTGATATACTGAGCTGGACTGAGAAAGCAGCGCGCGGATGGTTTCGCCGCGGTAAAGAGTCATCACCCAATCAAGCGGGAACATGCATGTCATCATCCTATGACAGACATTGATTGAAATCCTTTGGATGTGTTTCAAAGAGTTAAAATCGAATCATGATTGATTTCTATCAGGAGTTCGTTCTGATGGAGGTTGAGACTAGTGAAATGACTGATGGGGAGGAGTACAAAAGCTGTTTGATGATTTGTTTATAAAGAACTCTAATTTTGTATTTTTTTCAGTCATCGATTGGTAACTTTGACTGGTGAGCTGATGAAAAATCATCTTATCATCTTACACGCCATCAGTTACAATTCATTCATTACTTATGTACTCGTTCTTTATCATCTCTCCGACTTTGACGTTGACTAAATAATTCATTGGGGAAGCTCTGTTGGTTCTTCTCAAAACTGTTGTTTATACAACTTCAACTTCAACCTCAACTTACTCCTGTTAGTCATCCAAAACTAAATATGATTTGGGTTTTTCAATCATTCCTGAACCGAATATACTTGTCAAGAATGACCTCCTTGGGATTTACCTCCAACACTTCTCTTACTGACACCCCAACTGCTACTAGGCTGGTAGATCCTTTTTATTTCTACATCTCCCAAGTCCGTACAATTCTGTTTTGAAGAGTCACCGTCTTCACTGATTTATGATAGCCAAAATAAGAAGTTGACCATCATGGATTCCAAAAATGGTGCTATTGACTTCCTACTATCCAAAGAGATACTGCTTTTTGTCAAGACACTTCTTCAGTATGAGGCAGTCAGCTGAGTGTCCATTTCTATACCCTTGTCTATAGATTTCATGTGCCTCAGACTTACTACGTTTATACCGACCGCCAGAATTCCTAATACCTATTGCAACATCAGTCTAAAGTTCGCCAACGTCGTGCTGAGTAATATATACCAGTACTCAAACTTGATAAACATAAACTATCGGAGGTGTGGTGTTTGGTGTGCAGTTGTCAAATCTGAACGTACCACCCGTGTGGCATGAGCCATAACTAGTAACAAGCTGAGAGGAATACACCAAGTTGGATTCAGAAGCATATGTATGTGTATATAGAGCTCGCAGTACCAACGTCGTGCATCCATCCTAAGATGTGGTCAGGGTATCGATCGCCAACAGGCAAGATATCGAATGATCGAAATCTCTATTTCATCAAGCGGTGCAGGAGACCTTTGGTTGGTTCAGTCGGAGGAATCGGTTGTAGGCAGAATAAAGGAATGCGCATCGGTATGAAAATGTTGCAGTTTCAAAGTCTCGGTGGGTCGCCGAAAATTAAATCAATCGACTTCGGACTCACGCCGCATACAGTCAAATGTCACTCCTCAATCACAGCTCGGTACCATGTCACGACCATTAGGCTGCCTACAACTATTCCTGATCTCACAAATTGTCGACCCAGATGATTCAGACAACTCCAACATTTCCGTGTAAGTAGAAGCTATCATCAACATGTACATTTTAAAACACCGCGAAGACCGCCAGCATATCAACTCAAGCTTCGAGATGAGACCCATGCACTGTAGTGACGTTTTTCAATCTGCTTGAGTGGAGGAGTGAGGGGTGAGATATCTCAGCTGCTAACGGCCGTCATCTTGAGAGTTACGATCGGCTTGCAATCCACCGAGTTGGACTACATCCTACCCACTACACCCAACCGCAAGATACGGTTTTTAGCTTAGTCAAAGAGCCTAAAACAAGACGAGTGGGACAGAACAGTAGGGAGCGAGGAGTACATGAGTAATGCGCCATTGACAGCGAGTCAGGTTGCCATAACGTCGCGAATCCCCCATGAAAGGCTGTACGTTGCCTATAAGTTGCGGTCATCTCGGTTTTCCATATGGTACATACATACATAATTGCAAGCTTACCCAACGAATAATTCTAACTTTATAGTCTTGTGTCGAACTGACTTCCATCTTAAAATCTATAAGGTTACTTACAAGTCAACAGTGGCAAGGTAATCTTGAGGAGCAAAATCAATTCTCTTTGTCCAGCAACCTTGTCCGCTGGATGTACAAACATCAGGTTGATCCAAGCTGGCTGGGTCATCCCACGCAAACGGATACGAATCAAGCTACTAAATTATGAGCTATTATGAGCCATCATCGACCGCATACACACAACTATTCCAGGTTTGTAGACCTTGCCGTCCCACTGATCAACTCATGGGGAGGTTGAAGAAAAATGCTTAGCTGTATAACGTTTCGGCATGCGGTCCGTTTCCTCTGCTCTTCGAAGATATCAATAGAGTTCATGACCAGCAATCAAGGCTCGAACTAATTGGAGAACCTACGCAGTCTGTATATATTCAATGGCTTGCCAGGGTGTATTCTACCTGAAAGAAATCATACTTAGTTTTTCATGAGGTGACATCCAAAGTGGGCGCTTTCGCAAGCCAGGCCACAAGACCCTACATGCAATCATCTCTTCATCACATCGCGATACTCTGAAATTCATCTGAAGCTTGCAAGACATCTTGAGGACAGGGGACGTGGCGTATGCGCAGCATCAATGACTTGATGCGCTAGACTGGATGGCAAGGAACATGATACCCTTCGAAAACCCGGCTCAATAGTAATCAGGAGGCAGAAAGAAAAAGGTTAGCAGGATCGTCACAGAAGAAATTATTGGGACCCTATTTTCCCATCAACATGCTACTTTTGATCATGCTGCCTCCTCATCGAATTCTATGTATTCGCCCTATTTTATTTGCAGACTAAGTTCTATTGACAAGGCTTCTTAGTTATGATACAGATAGGCTGGCGCTTTTACTGTCACCCAGTGAGTCCAGTAATATGTACTCGTCTCTACGCTTGTCTCTAGGAAAGAAAAAACTCACTCGGAACGCTCACGGCTAGGTTTCAAAAATTCTTTTGGTGAGCAGCATAGGCTACTTGAACCTTTAGATCAATAGCCATGATTTACAGTGCAGAACGACAGAAAAATATACACGTAGCGCCAACATGATTCAGCTCACATCCCTTTGAGTGCAGAAATTACTGAAGAATGTCCTCGAAGATTTGAAAAGTTGAGAATTAAGTACGAGCAGGCTATAAAATACAATACTAATGGCTGAGAGCCCTTAGTGCAATGCCAAATCAGACGTCTGGGAATGGTGAACTGGTCACTGAAAAGATGATCCCGGGCTGAGATTTTTGACACGTACCTTGATATGGTATCAAAGCTTTCAGAACTTCATATTAGTCCAAGCAGTCTCTGCCAAACCGATCTATATAACGTACAAAAGGTAATATCAGTGTCAGGAGCGAATTGCTTCATCATAGAACCAAAATGGAACTCCGAGTCTAACCCTGTAATTTTCTGAATCATATACAACATAATATCTCTCGTGTCCTTTCATTCCAACTAAATTGACAGTTAAGATAAGTCCACAAGTCTTGGATCTTCTCACATGATAGATCTCACAAACTTACAGATAAATGATGCAATCTTGGGAAGTGTCCCTTGACCAGGTGTTATGTACGAATATCGATAGCTGTCGTCAGGAAGCACGCCTTCAGGTATCAATTGAGCTTCAGGATTCAAACACCAGGGGCGCTGATCACTTGCTGTGAAGCACAAGTCATTCATCTGACTAATTGACGTCTTTGGGATCTTCAATAAGTGAGGATTTACGTCCCATTCCGGATTGTTCTTGACAAAATCATCATGATCCCAAATTGCACCTGGGATTGATGCTACATACTTGGAAAATAAGTCATCTGATAGAGTTGGCGCAAGTGTGAAGCCTAGATAGGATACAAGATTAGCTTTTCATGATTATTGTGGAAATTGACGAGTAACTTACCAGTATCGAATATACCTTGGATTGGGCCTGGACTCAGGGCTGTTTTTCCATAACTTATGGTGACCGTCCAATCCCACCAACTACGAGATAATTTAAGCATCACCTATCAAGCCTTTATCATATGCCCGCTGGATTTGGAAGATCCATTGAAAAATACACACTGTCCATTTGTCTGACAATTATACCAATATAACTGGCCAATAAATAGTGAAGGTTCTATACCACCAAAGGTGATCACACCATTTTTTTCTGGTGTCATTGAGCGAGTCGGTTTGAATGAGAGCTAACGTGCATGATATGGAGACGTCTTTGCATAAGAATAATAGCATGTAGAGGCAAGGAACACAAAACTTACCGAGAACATATTCTTTTCAAGAAAACCACTATTCCACATGTACGTCATCAGCGTCCGATTTTCAACCACCGAGGGATCATCCTTTGGGGCAGGGTTTAGCCCTATCACTCCATCGTAACCATCGATCCCCTAAAGACATTCGAAGTATCCCGGAATAATCTCATCAGATTTTGCTCATGTTCCCTTGATTGATAGCACGTGGAGGAATGCAGAGGTCATGAAGTGTGTACGTACCACGGATGTGGCAGCCTTTGCAATGGTAACTTGCGGGATTTCGATTCGTTCATTCCCATTTTCCGACTCGAAGGTGATGGTGTCATTGACATAAGAACCCCGTACAAACCCAACTCCGTAGTTGATGCGCATATTTATATGTAGATCAACCGTCGATTTTGTCACAACGTAAGGCTTTACGGCGCCACACCATGCTACAAAGGAGCCCGTATCGAGGGCCAAATCACGGAATTGAGGCGGTTCACCCACACCCATGGGCATAGTGTAGAGGTCGATTGTATTCGTTAAGGGAATCGACAATTTTGACCTTGCTCCAATCGCGTGGCCCACTAGCACAACAGCTGCAAAACATACTTGGCATCCGATTTTTATGTATAGCATCTTGTTGACAATGACTAAGTCTCAAATCAAAATGAAATTTAAGAATCGGGATAGGGAATCACCTGATGATGATGAGAAAGAATGAAGCGTACGACAAGTAGTTATCAGTGGCTTATATGTCCATACGTATACGGCTCGAAAGGTGAAATTAAATACCAATTGGAATAATTTTGGATGTGCTAGTCTTCAAACTCATTGGGATTTCGTCCCAACCAATATGAAAACTACACGTATCATAGAAGCCTGTCAACGCGGCTGCAAGGATTTGAATGATTAAAGATGGTTACCGTGTTATGGCATAGATAGGACTTCAAAACTAAAAAGAAAACTCCCACGCATATATCTTTGTAAGTCGCATCCGAACCATTCCGCCTAGAAGCTATGCGTTCAGGGTTACCCGCCTGCATGCAGATTTGTTCGGGGTTTGTTTTCTCCACCCAAATTGCCGCTATCCTTCTCAGAGATGGAGATCTTCCACACGTGATGACCATAAATCCAAGACATAAGCTGCGGGTTTGAAATCTATTGAAAAGCCTTACATAACAGAGGGTATATCGAGGAGTTAACATACAAACAAACACAAAGGCGACTTTTTGTGTACGTGTAGAAAGCTGAACAAGGGAAACAAAAGGATTTTGTCTGTGGAATATGAGATGACATTTTTAAATCAGAAGTTGAGTTGAACTTGAAGGAATGCTTTTCAAATTTCTATTGGGCTGCCTTTTGGGGCTGCCTATGTGCAGGCACGGGGCAGGTAATCTGGGTGAATCTTTCACCTTTGACATTGAGATTTCCTTAAAAAGTTGCTTGGTTGCGTCAGGAGCAGGTTTAGAAAGCTATTTCAAGATCTTTTGTGTTAAAGCATCTTTTTCAAATTTGAACCATTCCACTGTGAAGTTTGCCTCGGTGCTGTCTTTCCGCTTGCTATTGAGCTCAAAGCTCTGTTTACAAAAGGGCGCGGAACGCGTTGCGAGCTGTGTATGTCTCCTGATTACTCGCTGTGCAGAATCTTGTTGACCGTCACTCTTAGTTGAATTCCGTCCGGAGTTTCAAAACATTCACACATGTGACTGTCTTCAGCATCCCATCATGAGAGATTTGATGAAGCCCGTATTTGTTTGTTTACCAAAGGTACACAAAGTATATGGAAATATCATTTGGTCAAAGTGTTTATATCTCAAGACGATGTGATATATGATATAGCACATAAGCTCAAGATTATGTCAACGGAGTGCTTTTGCGCAGTCCAAAATATATGCGCACCATGATGGTCTTCAAAGTGTGGAAATCCAACATTCAAGGATGAAAGTATCCAGTTACCGTATAGCATCGAGTATGTAATACTAGCAAGAATTCTTGATCGGTGACCAAACAGAACAAAGTAGCACATAGATTCTGGCCAGGAATAGACTTCAGCCGATCACCACCAAGTACCAGAATTGTATATCAAGAACAGCATCCGGCTCCGTAGTGTCGATGGTCAATGGAGATCAGATCAAGGAGTTTGTGATCATTTTTATATCATCATCATCAATTACAATTACAACATGCCATTGACCTTCATATCACCCTAACAAATAATCTAACGGTTCTTAAACATACAGTTTCACCAATTATTTCTAGCCGTCAACCAAACCACATCCACAGTTTCCATCTTAAACTCTTTAGTCAGACTAGCATCCAAAACTTTAATACTTTCCTTCTCTCTAATCTTTCTACAATATTTCAAAACCAATTCATCCATTTGTTTTTTAACTCCACCACCTGTGATAGGTTTCACAAACCTTTCAAGTTCTTCCATCTTCCATTTGTTACGAATTTCAAATAATTGTGACATTCGAGTCTTAGGTTCTGATGACAGTTTTTCAATTGGTACAATGATAAGGTTTTTTTGATCTGAAGAAATGATCGAATGAGTTTTTAATGAGTCTATTGAACAGTATTGATCTGAATATGGTTCTCCTATACGCGTTTTCCAGTCTGTGAGAAATGATTCGATGGGTGTGGTTTGAATTGTTTTATTATTTCTTGGATTCATAGGTTCGACTTGGGTAGGTTTAATGGACAAGAGTAATGATAAACCAATGACTGTTACTATCTTATTAATGTCAAATGAGATGGTCGTTTTTGAATCAAGAGAGAGATCCTGAGGTGTTTCTGTCGTCGAAGCTTGACGGGTATCATACCAACTCAAAACTTGCAGTAAGACTGATGTACTGATATTCATCTTCACCGATACGATTTCAACGAGCGGCTCGATCATAAATGGTTCATCAAGTTTGAATCCTAATTCTAAACTTGAATCAATTATTTCCTTCAAGATCTCAGCTAGATAACTTAAATTTAATATCCTCAATGAATCCTTTAATTTGATCACATTCAAAACACTAAGAAATTGTTTGATTTCTTCATCAGAAGCCCTTGTTTCATTCGAAAGAGATTGAAAAGTGATCGGTTCGATTGAATGATCATCATCATTCATATAACCCATACGTTTTTCTTCTTCATCTTCACCACTATAAGACCAAGGTTGTAATAATTCTTTAATCCGTTCAAGTCTAGTTCCAGGAAAAGAGGTGACATCAAATATTTCAATCGTTTCATTAACAGTTTGTAAAACTTCTAATGAAGATAAATTGATGTTAATTGAGTCAGGAATTGTTTTACATATCATTACACTATTACTATTTTGAATGGTTCTAAGTGAATAAGTTTTATCTTTTGTTGTAAGTACCAAATCATCTTCTAATCTACCACGTAGTTCAAGTTGATTTTGATTTTGATTTGATGGGTTGTTTAGTTGTTCTTTGATCGGATTAAGTAAAACAGGTGGTAATTCTAATAATAAATATGATATACGATGACCAGAACTTGTTGGATTGAGATCTGATTGAGATGATATTGGATAATGGTTGAGATGGTCTTGAGGTTCAATAAACTTGAGTGAATGGGATTGATTTGAAGTTGATGATGATGATGAGTTCATGCTGAGCAGTGACAATCCTTGATTCATGAACTCTTCACTTCAGTCATCAAAGCCTCCTGGTGCATGTGCATGCCGGAGAGGGATACAAGCAGCGCCTTGTTGTATCAGTGCGCCGCCCTGTGAGATGTTGGAATGCAAAGTTTTTTTTTTTTTTTTTTTTTTTTTTTTTTATGCATTGCTTAAAGTGCCTCCTGAGCCAAAGGCTATCAGGCACTAACTACTTGTGCTCCGCCTCCAGTAAAAACCCCTGTGGGGAAAAGGAAGACGTGCTGGCTGTTTGAAGTATTACAAGTGTTGGTTTATACAGATAATGGCGCTAAAGGAAGATAGGAAACATGTGTTTTGTTTAAATGGGTGGATTGGGGACATTCTCGGGTCTGTCCTCATCAATGATTGATGCCCAAACCCAGCGATTCTTAAGCCGCCAAGTCGAGTTGGTGTATTTGGCAATGCACTCAAAAGCCCGTGGGTTCTTGAGGATGTTGGTTGATTCTTGGAGTTGCAATTCGTTTAAAGCTGCCGTGAGCTTTATTCGTTGCCGTTCATATCTGTGACAGATGAAAAGGAAGTGTTCAACAGATTCATACCCTTCCTGGCAATTGCACAGGGGGTCAAAACGTTGTTGATGTTTAAAAAGGTAGGAATTTAGGTAGACATGATTGGATCTCAGCTGGGTAATTGTCACACTTTCGTGTCGATTTAAATTGCCTAACGCCTTAAGGTGTTTCTTGGGCGATGGTCGGTGTCCGAGTCGTTTGATATCTGTGTTGCTGAAGTTGTTTTCGTCCTTTTTGGACCACTCTTTGATGGCAGTTGTGAAACCCGCCAGGGTGGGAGTCGAAGTGAAAGTACTTGGAAGCTCTCGCTTTGCCAAGTTATTAGCAATCTTGTCCACAGTCTCATTACCGTGAACTCCTTTGTGGCCAGGGCACCACCTGATTGTCGTCCTCGCGTTGGCAAAAGTGCATGAGAGGTAATTGAGGATTTTGAAAGCTTCCTTCCGATCCAGGAGCGAGGCTACTGAAGGCGGGCAGTTCTTCAAGTCCATGATGACTGATTGATTATCGAGAATAATTGATATTCGTCGTGTATGTTCAGTTGCTGTTTGGAGGGCCATGGTAAGTCCCAGGTGGACTCCTTTGTACTCCGCCTGGTAAATTCCATGTAGTCGAGCCTTCCCTAAAAATTGGGCAAGTGATTTGTTAGTATTTGCGCACCACACAGCTGCAGTCGTGTTCTTTGTCGGAATTCGGGATCCATCTGTGAAAATGATCAAGTGCTCCTTGGACTGTTTGAGAAGCTTGGTGCCGGCCACTGCCAGTCTCTCTTTGTCCTGGATGATTGTAGAGAAGTTGGACGGTCGGATCAATGGTGTTGTTGGATCAACCGGCAATTGGGTGGTGTATTCATCGAATTCCTTTCCCAGTGAGTGTTGGAAGAACTGATGAAATATGTTTCGGTGGTTGGATGGGTTTGTGGTCTGTGCCTGTTGGATCACAGAGAAAAGAGGGTGATGGCTAGGCTTGGTCAGTGCTCGAGCTATGAAGTTCATGGTCCTAGCCTTTAAACGAGTTTCTGGCCTAATCAGGTTCAAATCGTGCTGTAGAAATATTTTCGGTGTTGTGTGAAGCGCTCCGAGTGCTGCTCTAGCGCAGGTATTGTTGATTGTTGTGAGGTGATCTAGGTAGTATTTTGGAGGGTCAAA